AATTGATTTGATTTAATTTTAATTTAATTAAATTGATTTAATTTAATTAAATTGGAGTCTAATTTGAGTCGATTTTGTCTCGACGTCGATCGATCGAGTCGATCGAGCGCGATCGAGCCTAGTCGGGCTCGATCGGGGTCGAGTCGGTGCGAAATATTCGTCAACAGTAGACCTAAAAAGACTTGGTTAGAAAATATTAGGAATGACCTTTCTTTATTAGATTTAAACGAGAATTTGACTTTTAATAGGACACAATGGAGAAAAAGGATTCATGTAGCCGACCCCACATAGTGGGATAAAGGCTTGATGTTGTTGTTGTTGTTGTTGTTGTTCTACTGATGTCACTTTTAATCTAACCTTTCCGAAACACTCTTCCACATTAATTCTACCAACCCTAGTGCATCTTCTATCATATGTTTAAGACCCAAAACCACTTAAGTCAAAATTTTATTACTTTATCTTTAATAAGTACTACTCTCACCAATTGCAAATAACCATTTCTCACTTCATTGTTCATACTTTTATCACACCGTCCATCTTAAACACGACATCCACTTCTTTATTGCCTAATATTTAAACACACAGAAAAGAAAGCATAATTTCAATTTAAAAAAAAAATCTCTTTTAAATTTTCACAATATTCTCTTCCACATAATACTCTTAAAGCAATTAAATATTTCAACTACTTACCATTAACTCTTGAAGCTATGTCCTTAGTGAGATCCACACTTGTTTTACAATGAATTCGAAACACTTAAACCTATCCCATCAAGGGATTACTTGATCTTTTAGTAATATTGACTCATAACTCTCTAGTTAAAAGTCACTAAGCCTACATAATGTACTTATTTTTGTTCTATTAAGTATAAACATCTTATCTTCTAAAATTTGTATCCATTATTCTACCTTCACTCATTTAAAAAAAAATAGTCTCACCGTTTGATCACTACTATTTCAATAAGGTACCTAACAAATATCTAAAACAAAGATTTACACTTTTTTCATAAAAAAGGATAATATACTATCTTGAATGTATATACATGCACGCCTGTGTGCCCTTTCACCCGCATGCCTGTGTGCCCTTTCACCCGCCATGCATGCGCACACACAGACATACACATGCATAAATATGATTATACATATAAGAGAATATATACACAAAAAGACCAAAAAGAAGACATCCTATTAGAATAAAAACTAGTGTATGACCGCCTTAATATTTGAATAAAAGATCAACAACAACAACAACAACAACATCAAGCCTTTATCCCACTACGTGGGGTCGGCATATGCATGGTTTCATTTTATCAAATTTCAAGCCAAGTAAAATTATTAGAAGTGCCATAAAGTTTGACAATCATTTCTACCCGTTTAAACAAAATCTAAAATTTGATTCATCTTTCCCCTAAGCTTCATGCCAATTTAATGATTAAAAACTTTCGAACATACTTATACCAATTTAATTGCACTGAGAGTAAATAGGTCATCATAAAAATGAAAGTTACCATGAACGAGAAGAATAACCTTCCGCTCATCCTCATCTTCAAACTCCATTTGAACTTCCGTTCCTCTTACTGCTCCAGACCTCAAAAGCTGGCGGTCCTCCCACTGAGCATTATCAGCAGTTAATTGTGACAGCTTTTTACTCTGTGCAAAAGTCATCATGCTTCCATCCTTTCGAGTCTGCAACAAGCAATTGGAGTCAGTATGCCATTGAAAATTAGAATCTTCGTTATTACCATTCAAAAATGCTTCTAAATAATGTTTCATAGCAAGAGTTAATCATGGAACAAATGCCTTGACATAAGTATGAGAAATATGATAAAAACAAATAGTGCAAACTGAAGGAAATAATACATTTTGCTCAACCAATGAGGAAATGGATTCCTACTTCATATATCAAGATATATTGTGCCTTTGATAGTTATGAGGTATTCAATTCAAAATTCCACCCACCACATAGGCTAAGTGAGATTTCCTCTTAACTTGATATCCAACTTTTGAATCACCTCAAAAAATTTTATTTTAAATTTTATTGGATAATTATATGAATTCACCACCCAACAATTCAAAAAATATCCAATGAACTTCCTGTTGAAGCTACCAAGGTTTTAAAGGGCGAAATAAAAAATCTAGATATTTTGCCTTAGCGAGGTGAGGTGCAAGCTATGATGCACCGACACTCCGCTTAAAGAGGGTATGCAGTGTCAGACACGTATCGGACACGGACATGCGTCAGACACGGCATGGACATGTGTCCGACACGACATTGGAGTGTCGCAATTTAAAAAATTAAAATTAAAATCGGACACGCGTGTCCGGTTATTAAATGATAAAATCGTCCGTTCTATTTAGCCTTTCCACGAACGAGAAGCCCCATTTTTCCGATCCACGATAGAAATCATCCATGCAAGCCTCAAAGCGTAAGCCCCAAAACAAAAATAAAAAAATAAAAAAAAAAACTCATGAACTTGCAAATAATTCATAAAAATGATAAATAAAATAAAATAAAATATCAACACATTTACTTAATTCATCGTCATTAAAAAAACTATAAATCTCAATATTAAATGTTATTATAAAATGAAAGTTTGAAACGAGATTCAAGGTAAACACTCACTTGAAAACTTAAATGCACCATGAGGATCAAGATCCATTGCAGCCTCATTCACACTTTCATATTCTTTATAATAGAGTTGTATGTAATAATTATATCATCATTGAATTCTATATCATTATCATCCTCAAAACCTTCTTTAATTACAATTTTGTTTACTCCATATATCAATTAACATTGGATTCAAAGTAATATAAAAGAAAGCAACAAAATAATAACAAAACAAGTAATCCATTATATTTAAATCACCATTTAATTTTTTTGAAGCTCAAACTCCATTATGCTACTTTTTTTAAAATGATTGTAACGTAGAAGTTATTATCAATTCAATAGTGGTTTTAACATTAGCATTGATATCTTCATTCTCCTCATTATCAAAATCATTCATCCATCTTCAACTTTAAATCTTTCCCTTTTTTTTTTTTTGCTATTATTTATTCATCATTACATAATATATCATCGACAATCAAAGGATTCATTTCATCAACTGTTATTTGTTTTTATAATTTGAGGTGTTTATCTTTCAATTTTTAATTATAAAACCATTCAACTTTGTTCATTCGTCCTATAGCTAATTAGTTCCATCTCTTTATATAATAGAATAAAAATATATTATTAATAATAATATATAATAAAAATTTATAAAATTTAACTAGCATGAGGTACAACCTCTTGAGATGTTAAGCCTTAACGCACACACCAAGGTGTGAGCATCACTGGTTCAAGTGAGGATTTAAGCCTCAATGTACTCATTATGCATCTCAATTCAAGGTGCACTAAGAACGGTTTTTTAAACCATGGTAGCTAATAGTTCACCCAAAAAACAAACCTTTTTTTGGTGTAAGACATTCAACTAGGAGTTAGTTCTCAATTCCTTGAATTAATGATTTATAGGAAGATGTACTGAGCATATTCAGTTGCATAGACAAGCTCATAAACTATATTTTAAACTTTTGTATTTTATTGCATCACAAAAGCATGCATTTTACGTTGCATTATTATTTGCTAATACTCATAAATTGAATGCTAACTACAGAAATGAATTTGGCATACATGATGAAAGTTTTAAAGTTCTGATGATTGTTACTCATTACGTTGGTAAAAAAATGAGATATTATCTTCTTTTATATATGCCTTGCTTGATTACTGCACTGCACTAATAAAAATCTATCCACTAGAGCTTATGAACGTTACAATATAAATAGAAAGCTTGATCGTAATACTCATATGCTTGATTGGCCATCTAAATGCATATTAATCTTAATTACAATGCAGAAGATATACTTCCACTTCAAGTTATATTCGAGCAGTCCATATTCCCTAATTAAGATGGAGTATCTCATTTATTGCAATTAAACATGTACTAGTCCTATCATTAGCTCATAACCAATCTAGTCCTATCATTAGCTCATAACCAACATGAGATATCTTTGATTGCTACTGATAAGATTATAGCTGGACACCTATTTCCAATTTATTCATTATCAAGCTGGACCACCAATAAACGATACTAGGATGACACAGGAGCTTGTTCATGTGCACCCAATCTTCTTGAGGAATATCAAGAAGTAAAGCCTCTAGAGGAAAGGTTTCACCCCAAGAGAGTAGGTAGAGACCATTGAGCCTTTCCATCATTAATATCGATATAACATAAAATGTCAAGGAAGATTAGAAATTCCTAGATTTTATTTTTAAATACTTATATTTTTAATTAAATTTATTGTACTATTTTAAATAAATGTCCTTCCCCTCCCCTCAGTCACTCTCATTTACAAAAAAAAATCCGCACAACTTAATCTTCAAATCTTCTATCAATTCATCAAATGGAGTCATAAACCACATTAAGCTTACACTCTAGCTTAATAGCACGAACCATTATATAGTTAAGCTCCTTAAATTTGATAAATATTGTGGCTTGACATTTGTACATACATGAAGAAGCTCACAGGAATATTAAATCAATATCAAGGATAGTTCGTATGTATAGTTGTATACAAAGAAGACTATCATATAATTATATCGGTAAGTCTTCTATCAAATGTTAATTAATGTTTACCACACAATTAATCAAATAACACAAGACAACAGAATGTTTACCAGCCTTTTCGCCAACTCGGCCTCTTTCTTTTGAAAAGAAAAATCATCTCCCTGGAATAATGATGAGTTATAAGAATCAAACATTGTGTTGTGTTCTTCCCTGTCATACCTACATAAGTACAAAAAAGAGTAGATTAGATGTCTGGGTAAAAATCTGACAAGAATTTGATGATTAGGAAATGCATGCAATTGCAGAGTTGCCAGCATCTATAGGGCATGAACAAAATATAAACAATGAGCCAATATTATTTTACAAAACTACATCAGTAAGAGAACAGGCTTTGGCAGAAGCTAAACAAAACAAAAATTCAAACAGAAAGTAACATGCCCCTCCTAAAACAATGAATTTTGAAAATTTAAATTATGGAGAGCATCTGGAAAAAATTGCATAAAATTCACTGTGACTTTCAGCATGAATATGATTTCAAGATGAATCAGCATTTCAGTGACGTGGGGCTCTAGATCTAGAATCATCATATGAAAGAAAGCTAGTTTTCTAAATAGAAAGCTATTTGATATTTTCAGTGATCTGAAGGATTATCATTAATATTTTTCCTTTGTATTTGAGAATATTTAAATGATGTTGTACATTTCAGATAAAAATGATCAGATTTCACCAAAACAATGACAAACTATTATTAGAAATACAATGTATCAATTGTTCTATTTCAAGTGACGCTGGAAATTTTCATGTAACTAAGCTGCAAAATAATAAGCTCTATCTCAGAGACTTCAAAACACGAAATGTAGATTGAATCAAAATAAGGTTGATCGCATGCTCATTAGAAGGCATATTACATCGAATACAACTAAGGTCCTAGCAATTCAGGATGATTGAACTCAATAGTGGAAGCCCTTTATCTAGACTCGGGGTTTCCGAGTAAAGTTAAGTGGTTTCAACACTTCAACATACAAATATAAGGATTGTTTTCTTTTCCCAATTTTTCCATAGAGCAATAATTATTTGATGAATGACATTAACTTTATAATGGATGTGACATTCATAATTCAACTGTGAAGCTTAAGAAAAACAAAGGATTGCACCAAGCTGATTTGGTCCTTCTATTTTACCTTTCATTTAATACAACTTCTAATACCTCCCATTTTCTATTTTCTCTCGTTCCTTTTCATTATGTTCTCAATTTAGACATGTGATTGGACATTGTCAATAAGCAAGCTCTACAAAGAATAATAAAGAATAAATGATCCAACATTTTATGTCCTTAACACTTAGTATTAAGATCTGATCTTTTGTGACCTCAACACACTTCTAACATTAAGACTTCCTTCAAACCTTACAATCTTCTGAATTATAAGGTTTCATTTATTTGTTCGTAGTTATATAAATATTGACATTTTAGTTTCCTTCTAAATTGAATACTAAATATATAGTTTGCGTAAATGCTATAAAAAAATCCTCATTCAGCCTCTACTTTAATTTTTGTTAGGTCAATAGCCAATCCAAAAATTTATGCCAAAATTCAAAATATAAAGTTTGCTAGAGATAAAACATTCGCCAGAAGAGATGTCATTCCCAACTTGATTGTGGTGAAAAATAGACAAAAATTTGCTAAAATGTGACCCTTACTGAGTGGAGACAAGAAATTTAGATTATGATAAGAAGAAAGACTTTTGATGGGGACATCAGATTTCGACACGTGTACCATCGCCGGCGACGCAGATCGACGGCTACGATCCAAAGTCTCTATTTCTGATTTATTTACATTTTATGTCATGAGTGTATTTTCTTTAGTTTTCCTAGTTTGCCCTGAGGGCATTTATGTCATTTCAGTTATGTTTGTTTTGGCCTCCTTATATGAGGCATCATGCATTGTAATAGTTTAGTTTTTGATGAATGAAGAAATTTACTCCTTATTCTCTTTGTGAGTGCACTTCTCCTAAATCTCTTAGTGAGTTCAACGGAGAAACTAGATCTCTTTGTGAGTTCTAGATTTCGTCCAATTTTATTGTGTTGAGATCCGATTTTAAAGATAAAGAGGTGAGTGGAATCATAGCAACGAAAAATCCTTAGATTTTAGCTCTTCCCTTCCCCTCCTCTTATTGTCGCCGATCCCCTTGGAGTAGTCCAGGCCGCCGGCCTGCAAGGCTCAACCCACCGGCCTGCAAAGCTCCTCCCACCGGCCAACCCTCCGCCCAGCAGCCCGTCAACCTCCTGCAAGACCCCTTGCAGCCGACCACCCATGAGCCCATACCGCCGGCCCCTCTCTCCCTCCTCCAATTTTGAATTCCCCTCATTAATGACTTTCCTAATTAAGTCAAATTCCAATTTTGAATTCCCCTCATTAATGACTTTCCTAATTAAGTCAAATTAAATTAGGGAATTAATTAATGGGAGTTACAATCTTTTGAAATTCAAATTACCTCCTAATTTTATTTAAATTAGGGAGTTACATGAAGCAATTAAAATCTGAAATTAAAAAAAAAAATCAGATTTTGATTAATTACTAATGGTCCCCACCTATTTAAATCTCAAACCTCTCCCCTCTCTACATGGCCGGCCCTCCCTCATCTCTCTCCCCTTTTAATTTTTTTTAATACACCATTAACCCCTTCCCTCATAATCTTAATTTCAAATTCAAAATTCTGAAATTGAAATTAAGAGCACGCCAATTTCGAAAATCTGAATTAAATCTCATATTTTGAGCTTTTCTACCCCATAGCTCCACCCGCCCCTAGCCCCTCTCCAACCCGTGACCCTCCTCCCTCCACTTGCTCCCGGCTTGCTCAATCATCTCCCCTCTTTGTCTTCATCACTCACTACCACCATGCATGGCGGACCCCAAATTTGAATGGGGGCTTGTGTTCGAAGCTCACGGTAATCTCGACATCCAACAATCACCGTTCTTCGACGTGGGATTTGATTCCGACGACGACACCGTTGGAGCTTACTTGGATCGGATCCTACCGACCCTCATACACGTCATCGACAGATAAAGTCTAGACTACGAGTAGACCATTGACGGCCGCCCACCCGCTCCTCCAATTTTGGCTTCTTCCCCGGCGACGAGTCCTCTCGGTATCACCTGTCTACTAGTGGCATCGCTAAGTCTACTTACGATCCTCCTCCGCTAGCCACCACTTTCAAGAACGAGTGAAGGGCTTCAAGGTGAATGATCTAGATTTTAAATTTGAGGCTACGTTATCATTAGCTATTTGCATTACATAAATCTTTAGTGATTATTTTGCAAGTTCCTGTAATCTCTACATGTAATCTATTGTCGTTGCTTAATCTATTAACGTCATTTTCTTAAACTCAAAATTGAGCAAACAAAAAGTTATTTAGTAGCAAGGTAAAATTCATCGCTTCTATTAATTTCTCAAAGGCAATTCTTGTTCACCGCATATTGTTTCACATCAACTTTGCTAGATCATCAACCCTACTTATGTGTCACAACTTGATTGTAGCACAAAGGTTGACAATGATGCCAATGTTAATCGTAGATTGTAAAATAAACATATGTATTCTATATTAAAGAGAAAACCAAAACGTTGGATCTGCCATTGTTACGTCTTGATAATATCATTAATCCACCTAATTTGATTTAATAATGATTGATATGATACGCACTTAATTAACTTGATAGAATAAATATACTTAAATAGTATAATTAAAATATGTAACCATAAATAATATGCAAAAAAAGAATATAATGGAAAGTGGAAACATAAAGGTAGATTTTAAAAACTATGATCAAATCGGCCACTTATAACATTAAGACTAAAACTGTTTGGCAAAATTAAGAAAATATTAGACTTGTGACTTCAGCACCTCTAACATTAAGACTAAATTATTGGGCAACATGAGAATATTAGAATAAATGTGTCACAAAATTATGAATGATTGATTCAAATATGATTATATAAACGAAAGTATAGAAGTAACACCAAGTGAAGTGAAGTTTCATAGATATACACTTAGATGGCTTGGTATTTACGATGAAGGACAGAAGATGCCAAAATAAAATGTTGGATAAAATTAATGCAAAATTATTATGAAGAAAAGGGATTAGACTAAAAATAACATAGAAGTCGTGCCAAAAAAAATATCAGCATCATCATCATCACAAGCCGTCTCCTAACAATAAGATGTTAAACCTATTTTTAACAATACCGTTTACGTTAACTTAAGTCTAAAATTCTACTTCTTAATTCTCCATTACTTATTTTATATACACATCTAATAAGTGCATTATCTATCCTTAATGGTACATCCAAATCACCCAAGTTTGATTGCAATTATCTACAATAGAAGTCACTCCAATTATTCATTCAATATACTCATTCTTTAACTTATCTTTTCAAGCTTTGTCAAATATCCATCAAAACATTCTTATTTTAATCATGCTCATCTTATCCATCAATGGCTTTGTTACTATCTAACACTTAAACCAGTATAAAATTGTCACCCTAATTTCTTTTTTATACAATTTACCAAAAGTTTTCATGATATCATTTTATTGCATGTAAATCCTAAAGCACTTTCCATCTTAACCACCTAAACTTAACCCTATAAAGTATATCCTTTCTTCTACCTCATTCTTTAATAAATAGATCCTATATAATTAAACCTAACACACCAAGAAATTATTTTTTTCCTATGATACTATTGATTGATAACTAATAATATCACACCTACTAAAATTATATATCACATACTCAAACATTCTACTAGTTTCAAGGCATCTATCACCAAAATATTTTCCCCATTAGTCAAACTTTTCACTTGTTTTAGCATGTCTAAACACTGTTTAAAATTGCACAATAGGAGGTGCACCTAAGTGAAATCCCCCTCAAAACGTGTTAAGGCGGACGCCTTGAGCAGGTTTCGTGAGGCGTATGCCTTCATTTGACCTAGGCACGCCTCGTGCTCGTGAGGCGCACACCTCAAAATAACAAATATTTTTTAAAAAACATAAACCTAAATCAAAAGCAAGTTTTTAAACCTCATCCCATCATGTTGTTCAACTTTGTTTGCCTTACGTGATGTATAGTTTTGAATGATTCGCTAAAATCTTCTTCGCCTTCTTCGACAATGTTCCCTTCTTATCGGGTCAAAACTCAGAACAGTTCGACGACGTTCTTCTTGTTGGATCGGAAGTAACAACTAGAACTTTGCTCGCTGCAACAATAGCCATCTTTCTCCCCTTTCATGTGCTTCGTAATTGCCCGAATGTTGTTCGACTACGCCTGCTTGATCGAGTAGGCATCTTCTTCACCTCCTTCGACTTGTCTGTCAAAGCTATTGCTATTCGACTTTGATTGCCTCACATGAAGTATAGAGGTAAATAGGTGTTTCCAAAACTATTATTTCAAACTTGGTTAAACAGAGTAAGATATTTCTTTGTGAGTACTTGATATCAATTTGTAAAACTTTAAAAATTGTTTGTATTGATTTTTATCTTGTTGGATCTACTTAGCCTAAAGAGAAATATAGGGGTTGGGTGCCTCTATTAACCTAACCTGTAAAGAAAATAACTCCATTATTTTTTGGTGAATCATTTCTATTTATAAATAACATGGTTCAGTTAATAGTGATGCACAATTTTAGCATATTTTCTTATTAGAATACCAACATCATTTTTTATTTTTTAATGAATTTATTGAACTATAAGCGAAATGATTCATTTGGTATGTTATGATAATCTACTTCAAATTCTATGTTGATCACTTTGTTAACCATCATTCTAATGAATGATCGTTTTTTGTTTTTATTAGTGATTATCAATTATCTATAATTATTTGTACTTCAAATTATATTGTAAAAGGTCATTGAGTTTCTATTAAGTTGTTTGAGCAGTTTCATTATGGAGAAGGACTATGCATTGATTTCTATTTGAACACATTTACTTCGCCAGAAATAGAGAAGTATGGGTCTAATGTGATTTTACCTCTCTTAAACTTTAAGGAAACTAGTTTCAATGTTATTGGGAGAACCATTGCTAACAATCAACAGCATATGATTATGTAAACAATGATACATATTGTTGGCATAGATTTTTTTAATCATATGGCCAACACCATATTTTTTATTTTTTAACGAGTTTATTGACGTATATATTCCCCACATAGTAGGATAAAGGCTTGATGTTATTGTTGTTGTTGTTGTTGAAGTATATATTCAATTATTCATATAGTTTATTATATTTATCTTCTCTAAATTATATTTTGATCATTTTGCTAATCATCATTCTAAAGAATGATAGAGTTGTTTTTATTTATGCATCTCAATGGTCTATCTTTGTGTATACTTTTAAATTATATCATAACTAATACTTTTTATAATATTATTTATTTCAATTTGGCATATTGGAATCAAATTCATTGTTCTTGTGATGATCGCCAAAGCATGCATGCATGCATTTTTATGAGTTTCAATTTTTTTGTTCTTAACTTGTTATTACTATAGTAGAGAATGGCCAGAAGCAAGAATAAAATCACATCGGGTCATAGGAAGGACCCGACGTAGAAACATAGTAGTCAAGTTGACCTAGGAGACAGCAACAAGTCATGCGCATATTTGAAATGTAACAATTGTGAAAATGTGGTGAAAGGTGGTGTTACTAGAATGAAGGAGCACCTATCCGCATTGCACAAAAATGTCGCACAATCTGCCAAAGTACCTGATACCGTAAGGGAGGAGATCAAAACATAAATGAGATTGGTGGATGCTGCGAAGAAGCATGTTATGGGCTTTATATATAATGCTATGAATGAATCAAAAGAAAAGATTGTCATAACTTAGGAAGAGACAATGGTAGCTATAAAGATATATGGAATATCATTAATTGAAAAGTGGGAGCTACAGCTTCATCAGCACTTACATGTAACAGGTTGTTATCTTAACCCTCAGTATCAATATGCAGAAAATAGGTCAACAAATCATGAGATTAAATTAGGATTATACCATTATATGTATAGACTTATAACTGATTCAACTGACAGAGCAAATGTTGAAATGTAATTGGTACCTTTCAAGAATAATGAAGATTTTTTTTGGATTGCAACAGGAAAAGAACACTATTTACAAGCGATCTACAAGTAATTTAATTTTTTTTTTTGTTTTAATATATTATGTACTCATTTATTAGAAATTCATTCTACTAATTATATTCATTTATGTAAATTTAAGTTGAATGATGGATTCAATTTGGTGATGGCACTCTAGAACTGCTACGTTGCGCTATGAAACTTTTGGAATTAATTTGCTATTCATCTGGATTAGCTCATTAAGGATGAATTCTTTAGCGTACGTCATGTATAATAATTAATTTAAAGACAAGAACTTGAAGAAGAAAAGGCTGAAGGATGACAAAGACTCTTTGATTTGTGAGGACATTGCATTAGATGATGAGTAATTTGTAGATGATGAAGTGTTAATAACATCTTAATCGCGAGAGGAAGATTAAAATGTTGATTGCTTTGATGGTTATAAAAATAAAATATCTGCATCCAATGACGGCACTCTAGAACTGCTATGTTGCGCTATGAAAGTTTTGGAATTAATGTGCTATTCATCTGGATTAGCACATTAAAGATGAATTCTTTAGTGTACTTCGTGTATAATAATTGATTTAAAGACAAGAACTTGAAGAAGAAAGGGCTGAAGGATGACAAAGACTCTTTGATTTGTGAGGACATTGCATTAGATGATGAGTACTTTGTAGATGATGAAGTGTTAATAACATCTGAATCGCGAGAGAAAGATTAGAATGTTGATTGCTTTGATGGTTATAAAAATAGAATATCTGCATCCACCACCACCCAAGCACAAAAAGAACAAAACAAAAAAGGTATATAAAAAATTATTTTGTTTAAGCTTATTTATTTTGAAGTATTACTCATATTTATGTTGATGAAAAATATTTAGAGAAGAGGAAGAAAACTGATAATGACGAAGAAGAAGCAGATTGGGAGTCATTGCACTCCACAGATGATGAGGCAAGGGAGAGAGCAATTCATTATGGCGATGATTCAAATGAAGATCCCCTTAGTAATGATAGCATTGATAAGTTCTAAGTTGTTATACCATTATTATTTCTTTTAGGAATTAAATGTCAATGAGCAAAGAATTGGGAAAGAAAAACTTTGAGTTGAACAACATTTTATGTTGTTTTATTAGTGTGATGTTTGAATTTCAATTATATTTCATACAATTTATTGCTTGTCACTTTATGTCTTATGCATTTCTGTGTTTCATGCATATGTCAATTTATTTCTCATGTAATCCTTTAATATATTGTTTGGTTATTATACAAAAAAAATCTTCATTTTGACTTTACACAATTTTGGGATTTTGAGGCTTACGCCTCGCTTCACGGACTGAAAATGCCTCAATAGCAAATTGCGCAATTTTAAACCTTGTGTCTCAATGAACATAACTATCATCTGCAAAAGGTATGAATCAAGGCGCCTCACTTTGAACATTATTTTTTAAGCATGAAAAAAAAAAACAAATATAAAAAAATATGAATTCAATGTTGATATTTGATGTAATCCTACTATAGTTAAAAACTCTTCAATCACCCCACAACTACTACTAACGCTAATCAGTGATTCACAATGCTTATCTTCAATAACTTCAACATAACTAAAGCACATTTCTTCCACAATGCACTGCAAATTAATTCTTATGATACCCAATAATTTTCATTCTCAAGATCTTTCACTTTTCATTAATAGTTTTAACACCAAAGCTACTAACACAAAAGATTTACCTAGGATGAAACCAAATTGGTTCTCTGAAACTGACATAATTTTTTTATTCCACTAATCACCCCCATAACTACATTATATGATTAACAAATTTAATTCCACTAAAATTAACAAAATCTTAATCATCCCCTTCAATCTTAAATATGCATACCAAACTGCTCCTCCAATCATTTGGCATTCACTAAATATTATAAATTTCATTAAAAAGATTTATTAAACATATCATTGCAGTATCATTTATAATTCTCTAAATCTCAATAAATACCTTATAGAAATCAAAATATTTGCATTTATGCATATTTTTCAAAGCCAACTCTACTTCAATTTTTTAGAGCAATATATAATATACATCATTATTGTATTCATTATGCTCTTAAAATCTAACTTCTTTTTTAAATTTCATTTAATAATATCTCCAAATAGAATTTTCAACTTTCATGGAATATGTAAAGCATTGCAAATAAGTATATACTAAAACAAGAAAAATTATACTTAGAAATGTTAGAAATACATGACGTTATTGAAAGTAAGTATAGGATCATAATAAAAGCAAAAGAAGAGGAAATAAGAAATAAATTCCACAATAAATTGGACTGGATACCATGCACGGTCAGCATCATAATTCATCTCATGCAACATTTCCTCTGTGATCTCATAATGTTGGTCTGTAGCTGAAGAACTTCTGTCATTATCAGTAACCTAGCATGACACAAGAAAAACGATAAGCAAAACTAGAAAATTAAAAAATTAAAAAAATAAAACAAAGCCGCAATAAAAATCAGAACAATGGAATAAGTGTTTCGTCCAAATCTCCACATCTAATCAGATTGAATCCAAAAGCAGATTACAAGTATCGAATTGGCTTTGATTGCTAAAAGCCATACTAAGATGATCAAGAATGATCGATAAGTGAAACATAAAAAAAGGACACCGATGTGACAAGAACAGTTAGAGAGAGGCGTTGTCTGTCCTTGAATCTAAGAAGCATTGCCGCTTCAACAGCGGCACCTTGCTATCAGAATGCAAGTAAACTATTTGAATGTGTTCAGCCAGGTAGTCGTTGTATTCCACCTCACTTGCGTGCATATTCATAACACTTCCTTCTATAGAAACTGAAATTTAGAGACGTACATGAGAAAGTTGTTTGGTTGGCAGTCAAGAAATAATACTTCCTACTTTCTATTTATTGATTTTACCGGAAGTGGAAACATTCGCAAATATAGCAACCATTCTCTTCCCCTCTTCAACATCATGAAAACTAGTGGCATGTATGATCTCATATACTTGGAATTAGAATATCACTGGATCATTCATTGGAAGCAAAAAAATGCCTTGATATAGGATTTGATAGCACAGTGAGCCAAAAGACCTAAATTTTGATACATGGATTAATCGTGATCTCCCTTCCTATACATATATATATATATATATATATATATAGTTTGCTCCTTGTAAGAGGAGAATGACAATTCTCCAAGCATTTAACTTTCAAAGCATAAGCGTCAGGACATGTCTTTCAACCTTCAAAGCAAGATTATTAATCATTTTCAATATTATTAAAACTAAGAACATGTACAATTCATGCAATCATAAGATCAACTAATCATCCATTAGATGCTCTTAAAAGTTTTAAGGATGGTTTGGATTACACGTCAGGACATGTCTCATTTTCAGTTTCACAGAATGCTTGATGGGCACTTTAATGATTACAAAATCTATGAAATTATATTCATAAGCAATTTTCATGGCACAGATGAAAAAATGTTGCGATACTTCTAACCTTATGATATATATGTAAAGATAAAAATGTCGGAGGAAAAGAGTCATTCTCCTTACAACAACAAGCCTTTATCTCACTACATGGGGTCAACAACATGAATCATTTTTTCTCCACTGTGCCCTATTAAGATACAAATTCTTATTTAACACTCATTCCTGAGTTTCAAACCTTGGATATGAAAAGTGGAGGATTTCGTTAAGTAGTTGAGAGCCAGCATAAAATTTGTTGAACAATCATGACATGAATCCTTTAATACAAAAGGTCATTCTCCTTCAAAAAAATAAATTACAATCATTACAAAATTGTGTGTATCATATGTGGTGGTATTATGTGCGCAAGTTTTGCATGCAATCATTCGCATGAGTCTTCCGAGCAACTTCAATAAGGCCCCAAAAACAACAAACAAATAAATGATATGGAAATCCTAATATTCTGAAGCCCAAAGGATCATTTTATAGCTCAGACATACAGCATGAGTTGCCCACTTTTGTGCTCAAAATTAAATAAAAAAATTCATATAAATTACAAAATTAACGATATTAATATTTAATCATCAATTTCTTAACCCAACTATATTGGCATCACATACAAAAATTGCTTTCATCAATATGGATATGAATGAAACTTTTAAATGGATTAATTTGCACAAAAAAATAAAAAAATCACACAATACGGCAACCTAAAAAATTGTGAATACCTACGGGAAACAAATGGCATTATTTTAATCACTTGAAGATATCACAACTACAAAAGAACATTACTCTTCAACATCAATGAACAAAATAAAGCCATATCTTTTATAAAAACGGAAAAATAAAAGATTAGAATTCAAACTTAGTTGGAAAACTACCTCTGAATTTGATGCAACTGAAAAGGAAAGCTGATGCGACCTTCCAACTTGGCGAGAGCCTGAAGCTCTTTTTGAGAAACCACCAGAGGCTCGGATAGGCTCTGGGGAAGGTGCAGCAGAATCCCAAGGAGAAGCTGTAACTTAATCAATGATTTGGTTAGAAAGAATAGACAGACGGTTAAACATAGGAACAAAATTTTTTAATTGAGATTAAACTTTGCTAACTCTAATATTTCATACCTGCAAATCTGGGCGTTTGACTGCCCAAATAAGGAGAAACCAAACGTGCATCAGGAGAAGCACCAGCTAGCATTGGAGATCGGGATGCATGTCGTGGCCTATGAGAGACAGAATATCTCTCTCTACTTTCTCGACGAGGCGTATCCTCCCAATCATTTCTTTTATCATCCCAGTCAAATCTAACTGCAAAAATCAAACACACAACTTGTTTAGAAGGCATAGATAGACATAAGTTCAAATCCTAAATTACAAAAATTAATTCAATATGTGCATAAAAACGTAGGTTAGCTTTAGAAGACCTGGCGTCCTTGGAGGATGTTCATGTCTTCTGCGTTTCTTTTCACTATCAATTGCATACTTCTCACTTGTAGAGCTCCTATTGCCCGTTCTTTCTCGATAATGTTCTTTGTCATCCTTGCTTCTTCGTTCATCCACCATCTTATGGTATATACGACCATGAGTGAGAAAACTACTAGAACTTCCCGAAGTGGATGCCTGAGTGACATAAAATGAACATGAAAAAGAGACTCATTAAAATTAGAAATCATGGGTGCATAACTTGAAAGGTTATTTAAACACAAACTAGATTTAACCATAACATATAAGACAATATATATGAAATGTATTAAAAAATAATGACACTTTTTTCTACTAACAAAATCTCTTTAGCCTACACACATTCCTAACAACAATATAATTATGGCAATGGCATACTACACTAATTAATATTTTCCTAGTGATTTTTGCCGCATTAGAAGTAATATCAACCAATAAAATGTGAATAGATTACACTGGATTTTCTACTATGGCAGAGTCTGCTTGCAGCTTAAATGGTTTCACACAGCACTAATTCATAATGCTGAGAAATTTTTCTTGGAGTAAATTAAAAAAATATTCAGTACATTTTAGAGAATTTGACAACGATAAAAATTATTCTCTTAAAATTTATTATTAATGTTATACACATAAGTTTGTCTCTTATCATTAGGATTATAACATATTTATTTAAAAACAAGGGGCATTCTTGCCATTGGTCAAATATCAACTTCCTCTCTGATCACAAAATCAGTTACATTAATTTATGTTGGGCCAATACATAACAAACTGAGCAAATGGGCAATCCATGTCCTGTATGAGAAGCTGTCTTCTATTTTGTTGAATGCAAAATAAGATTCACAAACAACATAGCAAATGCATATGACTTTAAAGTAATGTCATGCAAAAGGACTTCAATTAGCCCTGAGAACATTATATGGGAGAAGCCAGAGAAGCTCATGTTAACTACACAAGCCAAAATGGGCCATGTGATACTAGGTTAGGAAGAGAATTTCCCTGAACTCCCTTGCTTAACTCTTGGCTCAATCATGAACAATGAAAAACGGAACTTCAATTTCGACTGAATAAATCAAATTGTCTTTGTTGAGAGGCAATTTACGATGCAATCTTCAGACATTTAAGGCTACAAAATAGATTTCTTAAGTGCTTACATCATATAATAGTATGTCGCATTTGAGCAACTTGCAAATCATGGTTGAACCAAGAGGTTCACCCATATTGATTCACGCCAAGTTTTATGCAAGTTGGCCATCAAGATTAGCTATAATAATTTGAACTAGGGTTAGTTTTGCTAATCTTAATTAGAGATGCAGACTCTCCTTTGGGGCTACTTCAGCAATGACTACTATAGAGATTGTCGTTACAAGTTTCCAGCAACTATTCTTGTGTAGCACATGAAGGTGGTCCTATCACTAGAGCAAGAACACATAAAGCACAAGCACGTGAAGGTGGTTCTAACACTAGAGCATGATAACATAAAGGTTGACATCATTTTGTATTGTGCTTTTTATATTTTTCATGTTTGGTGTTGTAAAATGTTGTGGACAACATAGTGTTGTAATTTGCTTTGCAAATGATCAATGTGGGTAATTTACTTTGTTAGTGCTTAATATGTTAATTTTAAGTCTTGGTGAAGGAAACAAGGGCCAGAAATACTAGTGTACATGACACGAGTGAGGTGGTTGCAGATGGTTACAAGTGGGACATGTATGGAGCATGGGGCCAACCCCTCCATCCTTCCAATTCACTCCTTTGTTTTGAATTTGAATGAAGAAATGTGTCTCTTCAAGTTCGGTTAGTTGTATAAAAACTCAATTTGGTTGAAATGAATTAGTTTTTGGTTGCTTACAAATTTTGGAAAAAAACACAAGATGTTTGGCGGCACACCAATACGAGGGGAATGGGTGATCCTCTAGAAGACTAGAACCTCTACTTTAGTGACTAGAATTATAATTTTCCAACAATTTTTTTACTGAAATCTTTTGTAATTGTATTTTACAGTATATACTCCATCTTAGAAAAATCCAAGTCAAACCCCATTGTGAGGGTTCGCCAAATTTTCCAAATCTCCTGAGCCAATTTCACTCTTGCAAGCATTTGATCAACCTAGCCCCATAAAACTCCACCAAAATCTTAAGATCTTTAGTACATATGCTATACTTCAATAACCCTAAATTTATTTGGGATTGTTCCAGTCAAAATTCTGAAAAACAATTCAACCCTAGCCTTATTTCTTATTTGACGCTCTAGTCCTATAACTAGCTTCCAATCAGCAAAAAAAAACATTAATAAAAATAAAACTCCACAAAAAAAAATCTCAAACCTTCCAGATATTATATTGGGAATGTCCTTGAACTATTCCAAGTGAAATTTTTGAATTCCACCTGATCCATAGAAAATCACAGCTAAATACTCAACATTGGCATGTTCTGGACAGAACTAACAAATACTATGACGGGGGGGCACCTTGTGGGGCCTAGGTGAATTAATATTTATTATGTGAGGAGAAATCAAGGGAGAAATAATTAGGAAAATTTATTTAGGGAAAGATGGCTGAACTGAATTTATATTGGAGAGGAAATTAGGAAAGGTTTATATAAGAAAAGATGGCTAATTTGAATTCAAATTTGGGAGGTAATTAAGAATGTTTTATTTAGAGAAAGAATGTTGAGCTGAATTCATATTTGGGGGAATTAGGAATGTTTTATTTAGGAAAAAGAGGATGATTTGAATTCAAATTTGGGAGGGAAATATGATGGTTTATTTACGGGTAATTAGGTAGTTTTATTTTGATTATGCAGAATTTGTATTTGATGTAGTTTTATTCAGTGAGTTCCTAGCAACAGCTAGGGTTTGTGAGAGAGTTGATCTACCTCTCGAATAGTAGATCCATTGTATCTTGCTTGCTTTTGAAAAAGAAATCCAAAAAAAAAAACGCATTATCTGTGTTCCTACAAGTTTCTTCTCTCTTGTTTGTTCTTTTTACTTCCAAGATGCATCACTACTTCCAAAGCACATTATACCTACCAAATCATTTATACTTAACAAACTCTCCAAAATTAAAGTAGATATCCTCACCTACAAATCAAGTGCAAGGTCACTGGATTTAGAGTTCTTGAGAGAAAATACCATAAGGTAGAAGATTGTGTTTACAATTTTGGATAGACTACAATATGTGTTGGCCTACCATCCTAATTCTATAAACTTGACCCCCTACTTAAGTTAACTCTGCCCAGTTGAGCCTTATTTTTCTAATAATCTTAGAAGAGTCCATCATCCACCAATGGATCACATCCGCGATCTAAACTTCACCACCAACACTCATCATTTCCTATAGCAATTAGCCCATCATTACAAGTTTTCTTGGCTTCATTTCACATTGGGGGCTACAGGATCAACACTGCTACTGCAAAAACAAGTCATGCATGGGTTTTTTATACTTCATTGGGCATTCCATTCAAATTTCGAAATTGAGTCTAATAAATTGCTCGGGACCTAATTTTATGCTAACCTTATCTACTACTTAAGGCATAAAAAATACATCTCTCTGGGCGCTATCTCCTCCCTCTCGTGGGCCATATGACACCTACCTAGTAGCAGACAAGTTTTGGCAATTCGCACTAGCAAAGAAATTATCTGAGAAGCTTTGCATGGTGAAAACCTTAATTAGGGTTTCAAAAGAATTCTTGAAAGATAAGGATCACTTATTTATCCTCTTGATTGCATCTCCATAGATACTTATATGCTTCCCAATTAAATCCTATAAGAGAATCCTTAAATATGGCATGACTTCAAACACTTGTTATCAAAATGCATAAAAGCTACTATGTAAGAAAATTAGGGAAATCTGAAGTCTGCATTATTAGAAAAGTGGGTACAACACAAGAGAAAGCAAATTTAATAATTGACAATTACAGTTTGCACCATCTATACCTAAAACCATTACTTCATCTTTGGGGTGTCTGAAGCACCAAAGGAGAGCAGGGGTTTGGGTTGCCCCTCCTTGATGATTGGGTCCCCTTAGAGAGAAGGGCCTGAGGTCAATAACAATGAGAAACCAAACACCAGACTCATAGCAATTCAACATCCTCGTGATAGCGAGCAAACTGCCATATATTAGGTTCAAGGGAAGGCGAAAGGGCTCACAACCAACTATTTTTCATACATTGATGTGATGGACCCACCAACCCACCAATTTGATTGAGAGTGAATTAGGAAGTTTCTTAATCAAGAGAGAGTTGTTTAGGAAGGTTCTTAATCTAAGGAGAATTGTTTAGAAAAATTTTAATTACAATTGCAGCGAATTCTTTAGGATAAGAGATCTAATTTGAATTCAAGATCTAAGAGGGAATTTAGGGAAAGTGAGAAGGAATCAAGAGGGAATTGTTTAGGGAAGTTTTAATTACAAGGATTTAGGACAAGAGATCTAATTTAAATTCAAATATTAGATAAAATTATTCAGAGAAAGGGGGCTAATTTGGAAGGGAATTAGGTATAATATCAAAAAATTTCAAAAAACGTAAGAATAATTTTGGCATGAAATTTTCCTCAAAATATACTCATTTTATCTCCTCCCCCCCAAGTAAAATGTCAAAGTTGTTTTCATTAATTTTTTTTTAAAATTTTGAATATTTTGATATCTAAGTGTATATATATAGATATATTAATTTAATCGTTAAATCAATTAATAGTTGATTAACATTCAATTAAATGTTTACTAAAATGGATTATTAATTTTTAAGAATTGTCGCATGCAAATAGATAATTCATTTAATAAAAAAGTAGCTAGTGATTTTAAAAATATTACAAAAGATGTTCTTGGAGTATCAAAGAGAAAAGCTCCTACGGGTAAAAATAGTTAGTGGTGAAAGCAAAATGTGCAAGAAAAGATAAAAAAAATAAGAAGATTTGTTATAAAAATTGATTTAGATATAAAAATTCTGATAATTATAAAAGATATAAAGAGAACTGTAAGGAGTCGAAAAAAGCAATATGCGATGCAAAGATTTTAGCTTTAATTACATACTAAAAAGGGCAAAATAAATAGGTATAAGTTAGCCAAACATAGAAATAAAAGTAATCAGGATTTAGTTCAAATGAAGGGTATTAAAAATGAGGATTAAAAAGTGCTTTTATTAGAAGAGGATATTCAACGAAGG